TTTGGGGTTCTTTGACGGGATTTATATATATAAATCGTGGTACGGCATTTATATATATAAATCCGGGATTTATATGGTGACGGGATTTATATACGACATATACATACTCCGTTTCAACAAGACAATGACAAAAACTTTCTTCGAGATAACATGCCTGAATGAAGTTATAGACTGGCCCTTCTCAACAGTCTTGACTCAAATCTCTGTAATGATGTTAGAAGTCAGGAATTATCCCGACATGTCGTAACTTGTCGGATAACTTCCTGTTTTTTTGTCCATAAATAAAAATATACTAGTACGACGTGTCTGATTGTGTAACGTTTCGGGATAATTCCCGATTATAGAAGAAAATGCCGATAATATTCCCGACTAACCTTAATTGGTTAGTACGATTTGTCATAGAAAGTAACGGTGAACGTATAAAATTCATTTGATTACTATTACAGATTTTTTCGTCTTACACAGCAATTAATTTACAATCTAGCATGAAATCCATTCACTCGTTCGCCTTTGGAAGAAGCGATAGAGTTGTGTCCTAAGAAATCTCCAAAATTAAGTAATCTCAAATTAACTCAGAACAACAACCGAAGATTACTTAGCTCTTGTTTCGGATAAGTAATAGACATCTATGTTATATTGCGTCTCGACTACAAAAGTTTTAACATCTGCTCTAAATCAGTTTGCTCACATGGAAGCAGGCCGACTTCACGCATGGTTTTGCGAAACTCACATTGCAAAGTTAACAATAGAGTTGGCAGCCAGCTTCGAAAGTATGGCTAAAGCACTTGGTCTATATTATAAGCTCGATATTCCTGGTGACGAAGATCTTGTCCGTCAAATGAATCAGAAAATGTTTTTGGATCAAGAAATGTACGAAAAGATAATATTTAATCTATGTAAGCGACACAAGTCAAGTAAACTGATATGACGCGTTTTATGTTATTTCTCTAACCAAGTTGCTATTTTTAGGTTCGAATGCATTTAAACATACATTGACGGGTGGGGTAACTGTTCGATTAGTTGTAGAGAGAAATGGAGATAGGGAAGGAATAGTCCTTGAAGTATCCGACACAGATATTGTCAATATCATTTCAGGATGTCGATTTTTTCTAAGCAGCAATGATAATGACCAGTTGGCAGGTTTTGGCATCCCTGAAGAACATCTTTCGCGTATCTTCCAGCGCTTTTACCGCGTCGAGTCGCAACAATTACATGGCCACCACGAAGATACTGGGATTGGTCTTGCTCTTGTTAAAGAATGTGTCGCGCAACATGATGGTGAAATCTCTGTTAAATCCCAAGTGAATGTTGGCACTACCATCCGTGTTTGGATTCCCTCCGGATATGATCATCTTCCTCAGCAACAAGTTTACTTTAGAAGCAAAAGAGATAAATCTAAATTTGATGTAGAGTATGAAAATAAAATTAATTCGAATATAAACTTGTACTTGTATGAGCGTATGCAACGTGTACAAGAGTCAGAGTCCAATCAACAGCCCGAGGAAGGCGATCAACATAGTCCAATGCAAATCGATAATGAAGGCTTGTCTTCTACCTCATCAAAACTAGACGGGTGGTCAGCATTGCATATTGAGCCTGGTGACGTTGGATATGAGAATACAAGAAAATATATTCTAGTTGTTGATGATAATCCAAACATGCATATGAATTTGTTTTTACTTTCTTATAACGTCATGATGTAAACTTTTGTAGTAATATATTATTAGAAACTATTTGAACACTTTGATCGAGAAGCAATTCGATTGTATCTGCGCTGCTGATGGCTACAAAGCGCTTAAAATCGCAAACAATTCACAACGGTTGCCCGACTTAATCCTTAGCGGTGAGATTCACTTCTAGTAAATAGCTGAATGCAATTGCGGGACGTTTTTTTAAAAGCCTTTCTTTGTTCAATAGATGTTATGATGCCTAACATGGATGGCTTTGAGTTACTGAAAGCACTGCGCGGTAATCCAACAACACAGGCGATTCCGGTGATCTTGATATCAGCTCAATCGGGAGAAGCCAGTATTGAAGGCAAGTCATTTCATGTGAACGTTATTGCCTTGAATATGCTCCTCAACTTTCTGTATTTGTAGGATTGGAAAAGGGTGCAGATGATTATATCATTAAACCGTTCAACGCTCGTGAACTTATAGCACGTATTCACGTGAATTTAAAACTTTCTCACGTCCGTCATCGACTGATGGCAGAACAACAGCATCAGCTTGAAATTAAGCAGTTGTTATTTAATATCAGCAACAAAATTCGTTCCGGTTTTGGAATACAAGAAACGCTCGACACGGCGGTCTCAGAAATAAAGAAGGTTTTAATGTGTGATTCTTTACTAATAGTACAGAATATTTCCGAAAAAGAGAGTATTGACGGTAAAGTGATGGCAGCTTCATTGTCTTCAACGAATAAGACGGAGAAAATTGTTGGGCGAATATTCCGTGATGAACAACAGCAAACAGAAACAACTGCAGATTCTTTATCGGCGACAAATCATGGGCCTCCTCTTCATCACTGTGATAGACATATAGAACCAGATTCGTTGTTAAGTGATATAAAAGCTTGTTCGGACTGTGAATCAAAGATTTTGAATCAACGCGTGTCCTTTCTCAGCGTGGCCATTTATTTGAAATCGTCACCGTGGGGGTGGATAATTGCTTACCGACAGCCATATCATAAATGGACAGAGTCTGAGACGAATTTCCTACATCAGATCTCGAACCAAATAAGTTTAGCCATTAGTCATGCCACCCTCGTCGAAGAAAAATTAAAACGAGAAGCACAAGTAAAGGCCATCGAAGAGACTAATAGAACTAAAGGCCAAATACTAGCCAACACATCTCACGGTAAG